GATGTTTCCTTTTTTCAGTAAAGAAGTAATATGTATTACATCTTTTCGCACCATTTCACAACCAATTTTTTGGATAAGGGACATATAGAATAATTTTATGTACATTGTAGCCTAAAGTGATTGCTGCTGGTTGCTGTTTGCCATTACGGACTTTCGTCTAATTTATGTTATTGACTTAAGTCAGGTTGCTGTTTTTTCTTCTTTTTAATTGTTTAATATTCCTGTGATCCCGGAGCCTTTTATAGCTTACTGTACGGTAAAGGTTTAGTTTATTTTTCGAGTTTTTGAAGACCGTACGTTGACCTGTAGTTGTTTTTTGGTCTTTGTTGGATAGTGATTGACAATCATACCACATCACTTTATAAACAGCATTTCATGATTTGCTTTTAAAAAAAACATCATTTTTTGTACCTAAACCCATTAGCGTTATAGGTATATGAATTGTTTAATATTAACCGCAGAACTGCGCCAATTCAATTGTATATTGGGCATAATATACTTTGTTCCTCAACTATATTACATATGCATGGGCAAAGTAAATTCCTGCGGGTAAACTGCTTTCTGTTCTTTCCTCAACTATATTACATATGCATGGGCAAAGTAAATTCCCGCGGCTAAACTGCTTTCTTTTCTTTCCTCAAGTATATTACGTAAATTCCTGCGGGTAAACTGCTTTTTTTTCTTTCCTCATCTATATTACATATTCATGGGCAAAGTAAATTCCTACGGATAAACTGTTTTCTTTTTTTATCAGTATTATCTGTTTGAAGTTTGAACTAGCTTTGATTTTTAGCACCTAATTCTGCACTTTTTTCATGTTATCGCTTCTATGAATATACCACCTTTACACTCATATTTTCTTTTATTCCAACCTATTGAACTTAATTCAACCATTTCTACCAATATAAATAAGAAGATGTCGTACGTATGTACAAGTAATATACTAAAAGACGTCTACTAAGTATTCACAAATTATCTACTAGCTATTCTAAATCTTGATCTAAGTGTTCACAAGTAATATAATAAGTGTTCAATAAGTATTCACCAAGTATTCACAAGACTTAGTATTTAAATAAGTGCATGTTTGCAAGTGATTTACTTAGTAGTCAATCGTAATCTACTAAGTATTTACAAGTAAATCTACTACGTATTCACAATTATCCTACCAAATATTCACAAGACTTAGTATTTAAATAAGTGTTTGCAAGTGATTTATTTAGTAGTCACTCGTAATCTACTAAGTATTTACAAGTAAATCTACTACGTATTCACAAGTATCCTACGAAGTATTCACATGTATCCTACACAGTATTCACACGTTAACGTCTGCGTATTCACTAAGTATTCACAAGTAATATATTTAGTATTCACAATTAATCTAAGTATTCATAAATAATATTCAAAGTATTCACAAATAGTTTTTTAAGTATTTACAAGTAATCTACTAATTATTCACGCGTAAATTACTTAGCATTCACTAAGTATTCATAAGTATTCCCCTGTCTTATCTTTGAAGATTGTACAAAGTGTAGGTTGCTCTCTAGATGGTTTTTGTTGTTTGTCGTTGTGTTGTTACGTTGCTGTCTAATTGACTTCTGTATACCCACATCTCTCTTTTATCTTACAATAAACTTAGTAATATTAATTACTTATTAATAAAAAAAAAACAGTAAATATTACTAATTTGGAATTTTTCTCTTCATATACAACATAATAATAACTATTCATTATATATTATATTGTCCCAAATTGATTGTAAATTATATAATAACATAATAAAAATATACATTATACAGTTAATACCCATCCACTATAATTCTAAATATGTGTCTCATATGCCAACTCATATTTAGAATCTATATTTTCACTTATATAATTGTAACTATAGAATTTACTAAATTTGCTTTTCTATAATTAAAATTTTCCATTAATACATACATACACAGTAATAAAATGAATTTAACATTTATACGGATAAAATCATCTTGTGACTTCGGTTTTTAATGCTCTTTAAAATCGTATTTGACTTGTCCTTCCAACTGCACTGATGAGTTTTATTGGCATACCGAATTATAATCCTGGTATTTTTTATGAGTTTAAGTGGTAGTAAAATTCAAAGATTACAGAAAATTGATAAAATTGTGTCTCAAAACCTTAAAAAAAAACTTTTATCTCATAAAAATATTAAAAAAATCCTTTTTCCTAAAATACTATTAGGCTGAATGTCATGACATTTCGTAATTGACACAATTGATGGTTAAAAGATATCATAATAACCGACACAATTGATGATTAAAAGATATCACAATAAACGTTGCTGTGTGTTTCCAACAGTTTATTATATTATCTAAGGTAGCAATACACAGTTAGGAAAAAAACTTAAAATTGACACTCATGATTTTTAACCACTCTCTTTCCCTTCTTTTCTAACAAATAAGGCTTAATATTTGTGTTATGCATGTGCATATTTATGGAAAGAGCATCTTCCATAGATTTGATTTCCAATAGTTATAATGTTGAAATATAATCTGTTTTTGGTGTAACCATGGCAACAATCTGCATCTATTTGATACAAAATATTGCAAAATGGGGGGTGAAAGTTCACAAAAGTCTCCAAAATTTGGTCCAAAGGAGAATTTCAATCCATTAGAGTTTTAGTATACCTTTCCTGAAACCATAGACATTCACTATCAAGAGGTCCAAAAAAAAAATCATATGCATTTCTGATCGTTTTTCCATAAAATTGAATTGAAAAGATCGAGGGTCAAATCTTTGTTGAAAACACTACAATAATTTCTGGACCTATGGGCGGTACGGGTGTGAAAATACGGACTGTCAAACAGAAAAATGGCCTAAATAACATGCTAAAAACAATCTAGATTTTTTGCCCCCAGCTTCAATTATTGCTGTAGTGATGCAGATTTGTTTGCATCCAGCTTCAATTATTGCTGTAGTGATGCAGATTTGTTTGAATATGATATTTTGTACTTTATCATATGTTGCGGTTCATGAAAGAAAATCTTTGAATAAGTATGAATATATTAAGGAGATGTAGGATAAGTCAATGAGACAGAAACCCGACGACACAAATAACCATTTTGTTCATTGTTAAAGGCATAACGGTGACCTATAATTGTTTACATCCTCGTCCTTTGGTCTCTGGTTGATATTGATCATATTGTCATACCGACAATCATATCATATTTCCGTGAAGATATATTACAGAAACATCTTGTTATTAATAAGATAATTCTGTAAAATCTTAGGAATTGTTGTTTCAAATGTTGTTTTAAAGATTAGAAAGTAATAAATATAAAGTTGACCTTAGATGGATTTGGCTACTAGTTAGTTTATGTCCTTTTTGGTCCTTTAGCTCTTCAATTGTTTCGGTTTCTAATACATCATTGTCTTTCAAATATTTGGCTTGGAGCGTTCCTGATTAAGATAAATCCACAAAAGCGCTTCGGACGCATGAAATTTATAACGTGTTGGGCTTTTTTTTTTTTTTTTTTTTTTTTTTTATAGAGAGATGTGACAAGATTGCTGATGAGATAATTATCCATCTAAGTCAATCTGTCGCTCGTGGTAAAATATTTAGCATAAAGGGCCAACCCGTGGTAAAATCAGTATAAATTCAAAAGACAAATGTATTTCAAATAAATGATTAACTTTAAATCTCTCGTCTTTAATTGAACAAAAAAGATTTTTTTCGTTTTGGTGTACGTGTTGACGAAATATAGTACTTTATTAATTAATACATCGCCCACACATTAAAATTAATGAAAACTTTCGCTGTTTCCTGTTGACGCTTATAATTCAGAAGTTTTCTTTCTTCTTTTTGATAACAGGTCGTCCTCGTTAATTAAAGCAATAACTCAATAAATCTATAAAGTCTTACGATGGATCATAGTATTATTAACTGGGTACTAAGGTTTGATGTTTTCGGTTAAAGTAATTTCAAAGGCTTAAGGTCTTAATATCTAACTTATGTTTTTAATTCCTTCATCAATTATTCATTTGATAGGCGTGACATTGTCCAATATCATATAATGATTAACTTCTGTAAATAATTGTATGGTATTCTCAAATATGGTTTCTACAATACTATGAAAACACATGCAGTTAGAGTTGACGTTACATTTGTATACACATTCAACGTCGTAGAGGTCGCAAACACGAGCCTTGAAAAAGTGTTACTCAAAATATATATGTAAGATACCAATTTTGCTGTGGCGTATGCATACACGCTAGGGAATATATGTATGATGGGAGATGTGGGGTATACATCATTGAGAGAGCAACCATAGGACATCTACACTACAGGGATCATGTATAAGTTTGATATGTGATGTCAAAACATTTGATATAAACATTCGAATGTACACTTTAGTATCGTACTTATGGTGATTTACTTGCACGCTTCATACTGGTGTACACTTCTTTTTAAATTGATAATTTTCTTGTGTATTGTCGTTCAGTTTTTGTCCTAGTATGCATTTATTGTATGTCAATTACATCAAGTTGAAGGAGATTATTTCCTGTGTAAATATGTAATGAATATTTCCAATTATTTTCTAGATTGGGAAATTCGAGAGACCGTCTGCAGTTAACATCTTAATAGTGTTACAACCATAACAAGCGGTCCCGTGGTTATCTGAATGATAAACTGGAAATCGGATACAACTTTGTGATCGAATAATGTCAGTATAGCTTCTAATGGCATTGACGGATCTACTGTTTTCAATAAATATACAATTTTGATAAACGGTAAAACAAAACAAAACTAATTGTGCTCCTTATATTCGGAAGACTCAGCGATAAACCGTTCATATACTTCCAATGATTATCTCTGGATCTAACACTAGAAGAGAACTCAAAATACAGTAATAGGACTGTCAGTGAAATGAGACATTTACAATTGTTACAGTATACTATAGAAAATGAAAACTTGAACTTAAAACAACTAGAAACATCAACCATTGGCAATCATACCATACCTCCTAATTTTTTTCATATGAGGTAAGAAGAAATGGCTGAAAATTCTACACTGTCTATAAAAGATTTTCCGAATTATATTGCATCCGTCAATATCTGGAAATATTTGTCACCATGTCTGATCATTGTTGGAACATTTGCAAATATTCTGTCCATCATTGTTCTACTACGGAAGTCCATGCGGAACTCTACAACCATGTTCTATTTAACTATTCTTGCGTTCGGAGACCTTTCTGTTTTATACACTGGACTTTTACGACAATGGCTCCGACATGCTTTTGACATTGATTTAAGATCGTTTTCGAATTTTGGATGTAAATTGCATGTATTTCTTGTATATTTTTCTTTAGATTTTAGCACCTGGATTTTGGTTGCTGTGACAATTGATCGATGTATATCGGTGTGTTTGCCATTCAAAAGCAAAGACTATTGTACCATGAAACATGCTAAGATAGCAGTTACATCAATTTGCTTTCTGTTATGTGCTTTAAATGGCCATTTATTTAAAACAGTTGCTATAGATGGAAACAAAGGATGTTATGGGATATCTAGTTTTATTCTATCCGTTTGGCCATGGATTGATTTATGCGCTTTTTGTATTGGCCCATTTGCAGTAATGATGGTATGTAATATTTTTATTATTCGCCAAATTGTGATGTCAAACAAACGTATTGAGAGCCATAAAGATCCTGTCAGCCGGAATCTAAAAATAGAGCTGCCAATCCCTTCTACTTCCAGTGCATATCGCAATGGGCATGTTCCCAAGACAAATGGACGTCACAGTAAAAATAAACGGCGCTTAAGGAAAATTTCACACGTGACCATAATGCTTTTAACCGTAAACATTGTGTATTTTACATGTACTTTGCCAATAGCTATTTATTTGATTGGATACAAATTTTGGGTTCCTGGAGCATCCTCTGAAAGACGGGCAGCTTTAGACCTTGTTTGGGCAATTTCGAATTTCTTACAATATACAAACAATACCATTCATTTCTTTATGTATTGTTTGACAAGTCCAAAGTTTAGGAAAGAGTTATTTAACTTGTTTGATGTGAAGCACACGCATGTGGAGTTCGAACCTTCCGCAGCTTATCACCAGGATAAAGCAAACGTGACAAAATTCTGATGATAGAGAAGGACATAACAAATATTGAGTAGAATCTTATGTAACGTAAAATGTTCAAACATGAACAAAAAAATACCTCATTCATTGTACTTTTGTGATATTAATAAATCTTTTAAATAATAGATAACAGAGCAGTATATAATTCTTTGTTAACTACTGAATTCATCGGCATGCATTTTAAGAGTTTTTAAAAAATAAAAAATGCATTCGACTAAATTATTTACAATTCTCACAGGGACCGAAAGCAACAATTATTTGTTATTTCATGTAATATAAAAAAAGAAGATGTGGTATGATTGCCAATGAGACAAGTTTCCACCAGACACCAAATGTCTTAGACGTTAATTATAGATCACCTTGTAGCCTTCAACAATGAGGAAAACCCATACCGCATAGTAAGCTATTAAAACCCCCGATATGGCAAATGTAAAATAATTCAAACGAGAAAAACTAACGGCCTGAAATATGTACAAAACAATAAACGAAAAACAAATATGATATACAGCAACAAACGATAACCACTGAATTACAGGTTCCTGACTTGGGACAAGCACATGCAGAATGTAGCGGGTAAAACATGTTAACTGGTGCCAAGCCATATTCCTAACCTGGGACAGTGGTGTAACAGTACAACATAAAAACAAACTATAGCAATCAATTCAAAAGGACTTAACTCATCAAATCTATACAAAGCATAAAAAACAACTAACAAAACAAAAAAAGACACAAAGTACAGATCCGAGAGTACTCGCAGATACTGAAAGCTAGTTCAAAGCCATATAAACAACTAATAAAAAAATCATGTATCTAAGACTAAAATATAAAACAGTACACATTCAAAATACAATCATTTTGAATTTAGTGTAAAGATGTCATTTATACAGTCAGAATAAAACACGACCTTGTGCATTGCCAAAATATAGGTTTTGACAAATTGTAGGACCGTGAATAACAATAATATTTAGTTGGGTTTAAATCATTGATAACAAAATTTATACCAATAAATACAATATCCAAAGATCTAATTACAGTGTTGAATTGGTTACCTATTAAAATCGATAAGTTTACTCGGATAGTATCTAAACTTACGGGCTCTCTAAACAACATCACTGTAAAAATTAGGATGTGCTATCCCGTTTGTAATAAGTTTTCTAAAGGTACAGCCGAAGTTCCAAACCATATCTGGAAATATTTATTTACGATGAGTTTATCTAAATCTAGGAAATGACAGTTATTGCTGTTTATATTTGAGTTATTTAAAGTAAGTTCCTTTGGTAAATTTCGGCAGTATATTTAGAAATATCTTGATAATCTAAGGAAAAAAACTATCACCAAGTTAACGGTAAGTGTTGTTGAATTTATCAATTAAATGGAATAAAGACAGGTCTTTACTGAGTTTGGCTATAAACTGTGATTCATAACAGTTCAAGAACAAATATGCTATTAAAGAGGCACAATAGGTGCCCACAGGAATACCTACAACCTGTCGATAAAATTTATTGCCGAAACGTACATGAATATTTTTAAGGAGAAATTTAACAGCTTTAAATTTTGATTTTTGATTTTTGATTTTTGGTATTTTAACGCCACTTTTAAGCACCGCTTTTTGGGCTATTTCGTGGCGGTCAGTTTTTATTGGTGGAGGAAGCCGGAGTGCCCGGAGAAAACCACCGACCTTCGATAGGAAATCTGACAATCCTAGTCTATTAAGATTGGAGTCGAGTGCACCCGCACGAGCGGGGTTCGAACTCACAACCTCAGTGTTGACTGGCTAGTGATTACAGTAGTAACTACTTAGACCACTCGGCCACCGAGGCCCCAACAGCTTTAAATCATACCTCCAGTAAGTATATCTAGCATATTTACATTTCTCATTAGAGAAGAAGGCTTTATATTAGTTGCAGCAAATGAAGCAATCAGATTGTTCAAACGACCATTTAATTGAATAGGAATGTTTGTGGTTGATAAGATTACATGGAAGTGTAGTGCAAAGAGTTGAAAAGTCAAAATTCAACCGAATTAAAAGGACTATCAAATTTTAAAGTATGTAATTTATCTAAAACATCCAAAAATTTTTTACACTCCAAAAATAGTTAATTTCACTATTTTCATATGTGTTATTACAAAAGTTGATGATAGGTTCTTTGATTGTAAATAAGGAACAAAAGCGTTGAAAGTATAGTTGAAGAACACTTACTAGAGGCCGAGATGAAACGATATTTTACGGGTTTTTGTATAGTTTAGGTAACCAATACAAAGTAGGGACCTTCGAATGTTCAGGTGATGCCTTAAACTCAGATGTGATAATGTTAATTTAATTGTTTACTATATGACTCTCTGTGGAGCGCAATAACCTGAATGTAGAAGAATCTAATATGATATTCTTAAAAACTTCCTTGTAGTATTTACGTCATACATTGTACCACCACCACATTGTGGGCTGCTTTATCTGACGGTATGAACACAAACCGCTTTGCGAGTACTTGAGGTTTGTTTCTTATTCTAGAAATAGGCGTATTATGAACTCTTTTTTTATCTAGATTATTTTCAAAATGTGATATTCGAATTTCCACAATATTCATACATTTATTTAGATTAGAATCAAGCGATTTTGTTTCGTTGGCAAGATCTGTCATTTGTCCTAATTTTTTGAAAATATATCGTTTGGTATTAAATCTGGTCTTACTACTGGCACTACAAGCATATTTGGTGAAACCCTTACCATCACTCATTCAACTCTGTAAATATTTTATTTTGATATAACACTAAAGGTCCTAAAACATGGGTTCTAGCACAGCACATACACGAATATCTTCTTATATTATCCGTGTTCTCAAAAGATCAAAAGTAACATTAGAATGATTAGATTGACTTACATCTTTTAGCTTATCTGAGCGTTCAAGATGCTGAAAAAAACATCTTAATTAGATTGTAAAGACCTTAGATTCTTCTGAGGCAATGCAGGTGAGGAAAATCATATATTTGCATTACAACCAAACACGACCTTGTAATGTGATCTGTTAACATGGTTAATACCTGTAAAACTTTGTTCTCACATTTTTTCAACCAAAGGACTGCGTGGGGTATAGAAATAGGGACTTCACTCATCCACTAGTACAACTCGTGCTAGAAGACTTGGGTATAGAAGTAAAGACTTCACTCACCCAGTAGTACAACTCGTGATAGAAGACTTGGGTATAGAAATAGGGACTTCACTCATCCAGTAGTACAAGTCGTGCTAGAAAACTCGGGGTATAGAAATGTGGACTTCACCTATCCACTAGTACAAGTCGTGCTGGAAGACTTTGGTATAGAAATAGGGAATTCACCCATCCACTAGTACAACTCGTGAAAGAAGACTTGGGTATAGAAATAGGGACCTCACCCATCCACTACTAGTACAACTCGTGCTAGAAGACTGGGGTATAGAAATAGGATCTTCATCTATCCACTATTACAACTATAGTGCTGGAAAAAGTCCGTTTGGCTGCGTGGGGTGTATAAATCAGTATCCTTTCTGAATGGGGACATTAAATATGATGCCTCTTATAGGGAGAGTGCCATGTTCTATGCATGCTAAGAACTCTCCCCTCTAGACCACGCACTGTTGAAGTCAATGGGCTAATAGTCAGTCGATTGAGATATTCCTCAGTGTGGTCAGGAAATCTCAGATGTCGACTAAGAGGAAGGTCTGGCTTACTTTCATAGTCATCAATAACTTACAGTTCCTAACAGGTTTCGAGTACCATACCAGAGGACTAATATTGAATAGTTCCTAACAGATTTCGTGTACCATGCCTCTTACTCACAATTAAGACATTCATTTATGTGTGGTATTTTCACTTGACGTTAGGCTTAGGTTACAGGACTAAACAAGCTACCCTCTTCGTTCATCTATGTTTAAAAACCACATAAAGAATTAAATAAGGTATACATTCCCTCGTCCTGTTTATTTATAGAAGGTGTCCTTTGAAACAATGTATTCCTCATTTGTGATACCTTGTGTATTTAATAAACAGTGTTCTAATTTATGGAATTCAACCTATGATGCTTACTTATGTCTCTTACAGTCTATATTTCTACATTGTTTCTTGTGTTTTGACTGTATGGCATAAATAATCGCATAATGTTGACTGTGTTATACAAGTACAGTAAAAATTAGTACTGCAGTAAAATATTTCGACAGATCACCAACTTATAATAAATATGCACCAGGTATTTTTGAGGGAAAATATTATAAAGATAATTCATAGTTTGTATGAATACTAAAATGTTCTTTTTTCTTCTTTTTTTTTTGTGGGTGTGCATTGGGTAGGTGGTGTGCCTGTTTTTCTTTTCTTTTCTTCTTTATTAAATCTGAATTTATATAATAGCAAGGGGCATTTGAGTGTAAACTATCACTTAAGCAGGTTAAGTTCTTGCTTTCGTTAACTACAAGCATTCTTTATAATGACATACTATTTGTACTATACTATTTGTACTTATGTTTTGTTATCTTTTATATCATCCCATTTTTAAATCGACTAGTGGATTAACAAAAGAAAGAAAGTACAATGACATATGATAACTGTATTACAGTCGACAATATCTATCTATTTCTTAAATAACATACATGTTACCGTGAACGTAGTGAAGTTTAATTTTTCGAGTTATGGTGGAGTACTTAAGGAGCAACAGTGTATCAAAGTTTGAGGATAATTCCAGCCATTGTAACAAACTTTTTTTTTAAAAGACTCCAGTAAGGTAATAAAAGACAAAAGCATGCTATTATCTGTTTTATGATTTTTTGATTCAAATACATATTTTTGTGAAACTATAGGATATACAATAATTACATGTTGTAATATTAAATATACTAACTAGCTATAGTATATAATACACACAATAACCATGGACCATACGTCATTCAAAGAGGGAGGCGGGGGATATCTTTGCATACTCTGTGTGTTGAGATGAAGAATAGCAAGACAACGCTTTTAACTTTCTATCGGTTCATTCAAGTGTGTGTTGGTATTTTGTATCATGTCATGGGATAGAAGTTTATTTATATATTAGTTTCAAACGGATCATAGTGAAAAATTAAGAAAATTATTTCCAGGGGAAGAATATTATAAAAATGGTTCCTTGCGTAATAAATGATATATGATATTTGTTCCAGATATTATTATAATAATAACATTTTTTATAACAAAGTTTCCAGAGGAAAAAATATGTACATGATGTACGTAATCACATAATATCCCTTCCTTTCCGATATATAAAACTAATATCAAATATTGGCAGTCACTATCTTCACTGAAAAAGGTTTGTGAAAGAAAACGCCCGTCTTTTTAGCTTTTAAAAATTAAAAAGTTCAAAACAGCTGAGAGTGAATTCATAAATATCCTAACCAATCGACACCGACAATGACTTTATCGCTTTTACCACTTTACCTTTGTAAACATCACGCACGTGGATCATGGCTAATTTCATTGTGAGACTTGCAAAACCAGGCGATTGCGAACAAATTGCAGACCTAATAAAGGTAAGATGAAATAAAATGCTAGAAATCACTTATCAGGTCTTCAGTATTAATGAACTTTCCAACGCCAAGGTTGGTAATTATCACCTCGTTGTATGTCGACTTTAATATAATTACTTCCCTTTCATTATCTGAAGTTTATTTGGCGCGGAATTTTAATTTTTTGTTTTATGTAGTCACTGCAAGTGTCACCGTGTGAACGGTAAAAAAAAAGAGAACATAATAAGTATGTGCGTTCTGATTTACTAGTATTTACAATAATACATTTTTTTAAGACAAAGCATACAACGAAATATGAATGTTTTAATTTATTTAAAAAATTAAATTACAAGAATTTGGGTTTCCGTTTTGATTGGATTTGCAGTTATAAAGGCGTAAACGATTTGTTTAAATTCATTGGAGAAAAATTTATCCCATACCTAGCTGTTTCACTCAAAATGATTCATTCATAAAATTGACAATAAGTAACCAAATTAAAGGGCTCTATATAAAACCACATCACTGTAAATATCAGGATGAGATATCCTGTTTGTAATAAGAAGGTCAAAAGGATTAGATCACCATTACCATTCCACATTTGATCGTTTATGTAAAAATGTCGGTTGCTATAAGAGATACAGAACAAAGTAAATGGCGATCAATAAATTTTGGGACATGAAGCTGCAATTTCACAATGTTTGGACGGGAAATCTACGACCGGGATCATCCTCATCGAAGGTTTTAAAATCACAGTAAGAGGCAAATGCTCGGACACTATAATTACTTGTAGTTTCATCAACATTGGTTTCCTTAATAAAGGTAAAACATCAAAAGAAATTTACAAAAGGTCGCCTATGTCAACCCAAAGGAACATTTTCCTTGTTCCTAACAATACAATCGACTAGAGAGAAAAAAAAAGAAAGATTTTAGTTAATTCTTGGACTGTATTTGTATTTAAAAATGATTGAAATCTTCATAGGAAATAAAAATATACTAATTATAAAAAGAAACACAAGAGTTCTATTAACCTCTTAACTCTAGAACCAGATGTGTCCAAGAGGACAACATAGATAACATGCATTTATTGGTGAGACAGAAATAAATAATATACACATAGATAAGTTGTATAATCAACTTAAATAATAACATCTACAATAATATAAAACAATAAAGGCAACAGTAGTATACCGCTTTTCAATAGTCATAAATCGATTAAGCGAAAACAAATCCGGGTCACAAACCAAAACCGAGAGAAACACATCAACTATAAGAGGAAAACAACGGAACAACAGAAGCACTGAACTGCTACGAATACAAACGCCAACATACATAGAAACGGACTATTTGATAACAACTGCCATATTCCTGACTTGGAACCCAACATTTTAAGAAAAAATGGTGGGTTGAACCTGGTTTTATGGCTAGCCAAACCTCCTGCTTATATGATAATGTTAAAAATACCACTAAAATGACAACATTACGTAACAGGAATACTGTACAAATAAACTTAAGAACACTCAGGACAGAAACTAAGAACACTCAGGACAGAGAAATACATAAATAAATAATATAATAGTACATTACAACATGTAAACCACAGAATAACAACGAACACCTCCCATGGATTTACGACAGTACACTAGTACACCACAATATAATTATGAACTGTGCGTCACACGAATGTATCAAATACCAAAATACTATTTACAAACATACACTGTAAATAACCATAGAAGTGTCTTTATTTTTACTCTTCAAAAAAACAAAATGTTTGCTGAAGATGACATTCTCTTTAATTTCAATATTGTCAAGTTTCAATAGTTTATGAAGGAATCTTTTTATGCCCCACCTAGGGGCATTATGTTTTTCGGTCTGTGCGTCCGTTCGTCAGTCCGTCCGTCTGTCCCGCTTTAGGTTAAAGTTTTTGGTCAAGGTAGTGTCTGACGAAGTTGAAGTCCAATCAACTTGAAACTTAGTACACATGTTCCCTATGATATGATCTTTCTAATTTTAATGCCAGAGTTTTGACCCCAATTTCACGGTCCACTGAACATAGAAAATGATAGTGCGAGTGGGGCATCCGTGTACTATGGACACATTCTTGTTTTTTTTTAATCTGGCAGAGGCTAGTTATTCTGGGATTTTACAGATAAACACGGATATAATGAAATTCATTTCCAAGATAATTATAACTATTCAGATGACAGACCTTCTCTTCAATCTGAATTCCATCCCAGTGCCCAACTTCAACTGGAAATATTATACTTGAACATACCAAATTACATAAACATGTATACAGGGTCCGTATATATTTGAATATCCCAAATTACTTAAACATGTATACAGGGTCCGTATATATTTGCGTCCATACGTTTTACTTTTCGAGAAATAAAAAATGGAAAACGAAAACACTTGCGTTTTTATGCCCCACCTACGATAGTAGAGGGGCATTATGTTTTTCGGTTTGTGCGTCCGTTCGTCCGTCCGTTCGTCCGTCCGTTCGTCCGTCCGTTCGTCCGTTTGTCCCGCTTCAGGTTAAAGTTTTTGGTCAAGGTAGTTTTTGATGAAGTTGAAGTCCAATCAATTTGAAACTTAGTACACATGTTCCCTATGATAAGATCTTTCTAATTTTATCAAGATGCTTGATTTCTTAATTGACAACATATTTGTTACGTTTGGAGGACGTGTTTTTCAACAGACTGTCGGAATTCCAATGGGAAAGCAATTGTGCCCCTCTTCTTGCCGACTTGTTTCTTTATTATTATGAGGCTGACTTCATACAGGAACTTCTTAGGAAGAAAGATAAGAAGTTAGCAATATCCTTTAACTTTACGTTCCGCTATATAGATGATGTTCTCTCACTAAATAATACAAAATTTGGTGACTATGTTGAACGAATCTATCCCATCGAACTGGAGATAAAGGATACTACAGATATAGTTAAGTCTGCCTCATATCTTGACTTACATCTAGAAATTGACAATGAGGGTCGGTTGAAAACAAAACTTTACGACAAAAGAGATGATTTCAGCGAACTTTCCATTTCTATGTAGCAACATTCCAGTAGCGCCTTCATACGGAGTACTAGTATATATCGCCCAATTGATACGATATTCCCGGGCTTGTATTTCCCATCATGATTTCCTTGATAGAGGATTGCTGCTCACAAGGAAGCTATTAAACCAAGAGTTCCAAATGGTGAAGTTGAAATCATCCCTTCGTAAGTTTTACGGACGCCATCACGAGTTGGATGACCGTTATGGAATAACCGTTTCACAGATGATATCGGATATGTTCCTTACGTCGTAACTACAACACACTTCCCTTTTCACGAATGTTACCTACCGAATTAGACTATTTACCGGATTTGTAATAACATAAGCAACACGACGGGTGCCACATGTGGAGCAGGATCTGCTTACCCTTCCGTAGCACATGAGATCACCCCCAGTTTTTGGTGGGGTTCGTGTTGCTTAGTCTTTAGTTTTCTATGTTGTGTCATCTGTACTATTATTGTCTGTTTGTCTTTTTATTTTTTATCATGGCGTTGTCAGTTTGTTTTCGATCTATGAGTATGACTGTCCCTCTGGTATCTTTCGTCCCTTTTTAATGCAAAATTAGAGTTTTGACCTCAATTTCACGGTCCACTGAACATAGAAAATGATAGTGCGAGTGGGGCATCCGTGTACTATGGACACATTCTTGTTTATTTTTTGTTTTTGATTTTTGGACTATACAGCTTTACATTTTCTCTGATTTTGATAAATTATACTTATTATTAATAAGGCAAAATTCATTTTAAGTGATACATGAAATTGTCCTCCTAAAGAATTATTTGATTAGGAACACTACATTTAAACAGATTGATTCAGTAATTGCTGCCTTATAGAAGATTAAAGTCATACTTCGATCATCTTTCGATCAGTTCAATTGGGGTCTGGAGCTGGTCAGTAACTGCCAGTAGTCCTTTGTTAATTTATTGTTATTTTGCTTAGATTCTTCTATTACCTTTTCTAATATCGGACTCGGAATTTTTTTAAACTGAGTTTTACTTTGCGTATTGTTGTGTGCTTGTTTATTCCATATTGGCTAGAGGTATAAGGAGAGAGTTCAGATATCACAAAACATGTTTAAAACCGACGCATTTTTGCGCCTGTCCCAAGTCGGGAACCTCAGTCTTTGTTAGTCTTGTATGTTTTTATTTTTTGTTTTGGTTCATTTATATGTTTCGAAGTTTAGTGTGGCGTCCATTTTCACTGAACTAGTATCATACATTATTGTTTTTGCTCATTGTTAAAGGCCTTACAGTGACCTATAATTGCGTCAAGTCCACGTCTTTTAGACTCTTTTGGGTAGTTGTCTCATTGGCAATCATACCACATCTCCTTGTTATATATGTATCATATAATCTAAATTTATCGCTCTTATCATAAATTATGAAGCTCGAAATAGTAGTGTCCTATTCTAGTGGCTCATCACTTCCACTTAATACATAGTATATCTAAAAATGTTTAAATGTTACATTTATATAGTGTTATCAATAAGGTATGATTAGCTATTGAAATAAGATCATTCATTTTATTGGTTTGCAGGAACTTGCTGTATACGAAAAACTGGAGGAACAAGTGAAGATCACTGCAGATGGTGTGTAATTGTATTTTAAACATTTTATACAAGTTCGGGGATAAATGTCCCAACATTTTGGTGCTGAGGTGCACATTGAAATATATTTCCCCAACCCATTCGTGACAAATAAAGTAATGTCTTCCGGTGAATATTTCCGGCTCCTGTTACTTTGTGTTATTTAACTCAAATTATTTTGCATTAAGCGACAATTTATTTGATATTTTGTAATTCACTTTAGATCAATTTTAGATTTATACATTTTTTTAATTTTCGGAGAAAAATAAGCATTCTACTCTTCAAGCTAATTTTACTTTGAAGATATTATAAGATTCTTTTCAGACAAATTTTGATATCCTCCCTCTTCCATGCTTCCATGCTTTTATCTTTGTCTTTCTATACCTTTCTTTCTGGGATTCATGGTAAAAGTTGAGCCAGGATCGTTCAAGTTTGAACAGTTACAGTAGCACGGAATCATTTTATCAATGGCTTATTATCCTTTATTTTAATTTTCCGTTGATATCTTTCTTCGATGCATCTACATCTTCAAGATCCAAAATTATTCAGCCCTACCAAATCAGTTAAATCCAAAGGATGCATTCAAATCTTTGAGCTTCACACTACAATTTGAATAAAAAGAGATGCGAAGAAATTAAACAAAAGATACACCTGATGGAAATTGCATTAACGTTTAAATACGTTACAACTGTTCCTATAATCCTTTAGATAAAGTTTCCAAGATAATGGTGAAAAAACCCTAATGTTAGTTAACAATCTAAAGGGCAACAAATTATGATTGTGATACGTCTGGTAACTTCGTTAAATAATCCAGAGTTCTCTAAATATACTACCGAAATTTACCCAAAAGAACTTACTTTAACTAAATCTAACATAAACAGCAGCAGTTGTCCTTTTCTAGATTTAGACATAAAAATTTCTAAAGGGAAACTCCATACTAAAATTTTACGACAAAAGAGACAATTTTTCATTCCCTATTGTTAATTTTCCTTTTTTAGACGGCGATGTGCCTTTGTCTCCATCATACGGTGTTTATATATCCCAACTCGTTCGGTATGCCCGTGTGTGTAGTGATGTCATAGATTTTAACGAACGTAATCAATGCATCACTGGTAAATTATTAAGTCAGGGATTTCGTTACCATAAATTACTTAAAACTTTTACTAAATTCTTTCATAGATACAAAGATTTGATTAGTAAATTTGGCTGTACCTGTAGAAAACTTATTAAAAATGGTATTTCACATCCTAAATTTTATGGTAATATTGTACTTAAAGCGCGGAAATCATTATGTGATCCGTGTAAACTCATCGAACCTTTAAACAAACTTATTAGTAAGGGTTATCGTACCAATGTTGTAATTAGATCTCTGAATATAGTTTACATTGGCACTAATATCGATTTTGTCATTAGCAAATTAAACACACGTTCATTTTTATTTATAAAAAAGTCACTCCTAACTATCCTACTGCCTGTCGATACATTTATTTTTGGCATTGCACACGTCATGTCTTCTTTGACTGTTCATGACGTTAAAATACTAAATCCCTGGGAGGTATTTTAGTTGATTTTAGTCCCTGATGCATGATTTTTTATTATTAATTGTTTTAAGCTTTTAACTAGCTGTCAGTAACTGCGAGTACTCTCAAATCGTACTTTCTTTTTAATTTGACCTGTTGATACTATTTGTAATGTTTTTTTGTTATTTAATGTTAACATGGATCTTGTCTATATACCAGCTTTGATTATTTGGTATTTAATTACTACAAATTTTCACTTCTTCGTACTATGAACATCAAAATTATTTCATTTTTCCTTAGATGCTGTTCTTGGACCTGTACAGGAAGTTTTATCTAGCACTAATTGTATATTTTTATTGTTGATATTCACCCCATATGTACCAAGTGTTAGATTAGTTTTATTGATATTAAAGAAATTTCTTGGCATTCCTAAACGGAAGATTTTATACACACAGAAGAAGAAGTATACTTAACAACAAAATTATTTTCATTTACCTGTGTATAATATGACGCAGGTTTCTTCAAAAGTGATGTTTTTCTATAAATTGTTTGAAATTTCACAGTGATATCATACTTTAACTTTGTTTAAACCTGTTTATTTACTTTTGACTTTAATTATTTATCCCTTGTAATTTTTTATTAAATGTGTATTTGCATTCAGGTATCACAGATCAAATTTATTCGTTCATAGTATGTTAATTTATGTTTTTTGATTGAGTTAAGCCTTCCAATTGATATTTTATAGTGTGTTTTTCTGTGTTGTGATGTTATACTATTGTTTCAGAAAAGGGAGAAGGTTTGGTACCATTAAAACGTTTAATCCCGCTGCAATTGTTTGCGCCTGTCCTAAGTCAGGAATCTGATGTTCAGTAGTTGTCGTTTGTTGATGTAGTTCATACGTGTTTCTCGTTTCTCGTTTTTATATAGATTAGACCGTTGGTTTTTCCGTTTGAATGGTTTTACACTAGTAATTTTTTGGGGCCCTTTATAGCTTGTTGTTCGGTATGAGCCAATGCTCCGTGTTGAAGGCCGTACGTTGACCTATAATGGTTTACTTTTATAAATTGTAACTTGGATGGAGAGTTGTCTCATTGGCACTCATACCACATCTTCCTATATCTAGATAGATAGATAGATCTGGATATTCTGATCATTTTGCCTGTGTCACATTTTCTATATTATATTTTTCACGATATTGGAAATGAACAATTCCCTGGCTTGCATTATAATCGGATGTTCTTTTATATCTTTTTTTTTTCTTTTTTTGAAATCTGAAATAGAAAATTCTAGTGGTAAGAAACGAAAAATAGAACGCAATCTCTTTTTCAATGAATAATAATTTTTATCAAAGATACCAGACGTTATCTCATATTATGTTGTTGCATTTGCGATTTTTTTAACAATATTAGGCCTTTTGTGCAATTATCTTGTCTTTGTGTTTATTCATTTGGTAAGGGACAACAAATAAAAAGTTTATATTATGTATGAATATATCTAGTCATGACATATTCTTTGATTATCTTATCTTTTCGCCATTTTAACTGGGAGGTTGGGGCGGAGTATGTCTTCATCTTGTGTTGTATTTCTGATTTTATGTCTTTTCATTTTTTTCATAAGCAATCGATCCTGCACTCCCTACATCTACTTGTATGGCATGTTTAATTAGGTCCATTTAAAAATCTTCGTGTCTGTGTTCTAGTAATGTTTTTTTTTAATTTTACACAAGGTCAAAAATAATGACAGAAAATGACAGGATAGGTAGGTAGGTAGGTAGGTAGGTAGGTAGGAAAAAACATTTTTTTAAACATATTTTACATTGACTTTTAATACAGGGAAAAGGTTCTGAACTTTCGCAGTGCTTAACCATACTTAATCTTAAATGACCATTAATGTGTAGGAGTATGTATGCAAATTTAGAGTAAGTCAGAATGTAGGAAACATAACTGAATTATTACTATATTTAAAATTGAGAATGGAAATGGGGAATGTGTCAAAGAGACAACAACCCGACCATAGAGCAGACAACAGCCGAAGGCCACTAATGGGTCTTCGATGCAGCGAGAAACTCCCGCACCCGGAGGCGTCCTTCAGCTGGCCCCTAAACAAATATGTATACCAGTGATAATGGACGTCATACTAAACTCCAAATTATACACAAGAAACTAAAATTAAAAATGATACAAGACTAACAAAGGCCAGAGGCTCCTGACTTGGGACAGGCGCAAAAATGCGGCGGGGTTAAACATGTTTTTTTGAGATCTCAACCCTCCCATCTCAATTTGTTTTGGTCTAAGAAAAAGTTCGCGAACTGAAAGCAAAATAGTTATTTTAAAAAAGAGGCTGTTATAAAATTTAAAGTTTTACATGTATAAACTCAACCATATAAGGCCACTCCAAATTAAATATTTGTTATTAGGACTTTAATGTTCAAAAATTTGTGCGAGCGAGCGACATTTTAATTTTTAAAACTTTTTTCATGAATGAATATTTTAGCTAGCGATGCCTAAATTTGGTGAGATAAAGCATTTTATGAAATTTTATGCTACATAACTTCAGTTTTCAGGAGCGAGAAATTATATTTTTACCCCAAAATCATGGTGATTTTCTGTGAATTGTGGGCCTAGCGATGTCATTTTAAAATATAACATTGCTAATGTAATTTAAGTGGAGCGATAAATCAGAAAGTTTTCATGGAATGGCGGTAAATATTTTAGAAATTTATTTGGAATAAACTTACATGTAGTATTCAAAACTATTAAATGAATAAGAATAAAACATTTTATTGAAATCAATACATGTTTATTGTAGTTTTGCGAACTGATGGATTTGGGGAAGAAAAGTTTTATCATTGTTTTGTAGCAGAACTTAAAGGTAAGTGTTATGATTGCATTCAGTCGGCATTTTGATAATTAACTGTATTTTTACACAAACAGCAACCATAAGACCCGAACAAGTGACTAAATTTCTCTGTTAGCCAGGATCACAGGCTTTTAATATAGCAATAAAATGTTGTTAAGCTCACCTGGTACGCTTTACATACCCGTCACTTTGTGCCTTCGTCGTCGTTAACATTTTCAAAATTCAAAACCACTGGACCAATTTCAACCAAATTTGGGCTGAGAGATCCTTATGGTAGCTAGTATAAAGTTTGTGGTTTTGCTCCTCCCAATCAACTAGCATGACCGCCGTGGATAGAAATAGAACATAAGAGTAAAATATCTTGAAACCACAATGAGTGAAAAAAACCTGATATATTCAAATAAACCACTACAAACATAATAATAATTATGTAATATTTCCTATAAACCACTTTAAACAAATGTGAAATTTTAGTTAAGCCACTATCACGACTATAAACATATAAAATTCAGATAAACAACAGCAAAACATGTGTGATATTTAAGTTTTTAACCGCTACAATTATATGTGATATTTCAGGTAAACCGCTACAAACATATGTGATGTTGCAGATAATCACTACAAACTTATTATAGATAAATCACTACAGTATCGTTGTAAACCACTAAAAACTTGTGTGATATTTCAGTAACATTGTAAATCACTACAGTATCGTTGTAAACCACTAAAAACTTGTGTGATATTTCAGTAACATTGTTAATCACTACAGTATCGTTGTAAACCACTATAAACTTATGTGATATTTCAGTAACATTGTGAATCACTACAAACATAAGTTATATTTCAATTAGAACACCACGTATACAAACATAGTAATACTTTAAGAAACACCATACAAACATATGTGATATTTCAGATAGACCACTACAAACATAGTAATATTTCAGATAGACCACTACAAACATAGTAATATTTCAGACAAACCCCTACAAACATATGCAATATTTCAGATAGACCACTACAAACATATGTGATATTTCAGATAGACCACTACAAACATATGTGATATTTCAGATAGACCACTACAAACATATGCAATATTTCAGATAGACCACTACAAACATATGTGATATTTCAGATAGACCACTACTAACATGTCATATTTTAGATAGACCACTACAAACATATGATATTTTAGATAAACCACTTCAAACATATGCAATACTTCAGATAGACCACTACAAACTTATGTGATATTTCAGATAGACCACTACTAACATGTGATATTTTAGATAAACCACTACAAACATATGCAATACTTCAGATAGACCACTACAAACATATGTGATATTTCAGATAGACCACTACAAACATATGTGATATTTCAGATAGACCACTACAAACATATGTGATATTTTAGATAGATCACTACAAACATATGTGATATTTCAGATAGACCACTACAAACATATGTGATATTTCAGATAGACCACTACAAACATATGTGATATTTTAGATAGATCACTACAAACATATGCAATACTTCAGATAGACCACTACAAACATATGTGATATTTCAGCTAGACCACTACAAACATAGTAATATTCCAGAGAAACCCCTACAAACATATGTGATATTTCAGATAGACCACTACTAACATGTGATATTTCAGATAAACCACTTCAAACATATGTGATATTTCAGATAGACCACTACAAACATATGTGATATTTTAGATAGACCACTACAAACATATGTGATATTTTAGATAGACCACTACAAACATATGTGATATTTCAGATAGACCACTACTAACATGTGATATTTTAGATAAACCACTACAAACATATGCAATACTTCAGATAGACCACTACAAACATATTTGATATTTCAGATATACCACTACTAACATGTGATATTTTAGATAAACCACTACAATCATATGTGATATTTCAGATAGACCACTACAAACATATGTGATATTTCAGATAGACCACTACAAACATATGTGATATTTTAGATAGACCACTACAAACATATGTGATATTTCAGATAGACCACTACAAACAAATGTGATATTTCAGATAGACCACTACAAACATGTGTGATATTCCGATAGACTACTACAAACATACGTTCTATTTCAGTTTAACCAAAAACATGTTTCTCGTATTTGTTTTTGTTTGTTGTTTTGTTTGGTTTGATCCTGTGTTATTCCGTTGCACCACTATCCCACGTTAGGGGAGTGTTGGCGCCTTCAAACTAGTTTAACTGTGAATTCTGTACGTGCCTGTCCCAAGTCAGGAGCCTGTAGTTCAGTGGTTGTCGTTGGTTCATGTCTGTTCTATTTGTTTTTCGTAAATTGTTTCGTTATACATTAGGCCGTTAGTTTTCTCAATTGAATTGTTTTATATTTCTCATGTCAGGACCATTTATAGCCGACTATACGGTATGGGGTTTTCTCATTGTTGAAGGCCGTACGATTGTCCATAATTGCATCCACTTCATTTGAACTTTGGTTTATAGTTGTTTCATTGGCAATCATACCACATCTCCTTATTTTCAACATGTGATATTTCAGTTAAACAACTACAAACATATGATATTTTAGATAAACCACTACAAATATATGTGATATTTCAATTAGACCACTACAAACATACGTGATATTTAGATAAACCACTACAAATACTACAGATATTTCAGATAATAGTATCAACGTACAAATTTTTGTGTACCAGATGAATATTTCGACAATAAATGTCTCTTCAGTTGTGATCGTGTCCATTATATTTGAAATCCAAAACGTATTGAAAAAGGAAGAGTCTATAAACCAAAAAGGACAATACGTGTAGTCAAAGCCTGGCAAGGAATCATAGCTTTGCATGAGGGAAATGTATTCACTTCCACTCCAAACATATGTGACATTTTAGTTAAACCCCTACAAACTATGTGCTATTTCAGGTACACTACAAGCATATGTGCTATTTTAGTTAAATTACTTCAAACATATGTGCTTTTCAGATAAACCGGGCACTACAAACATATGCAATATTTCAGATAGACCACTACTAACATGTGATATTTTAGATAAACCACTTCAAACATATGCAATACTTCAGATAAACCACTACAAACTTATGTGATATTTCAGATAGACCACTACTAACATGTGATATTTTAGATAAACCACTACAAACATATGCAATACTTCAGATAAACCACTACAAACATATGTGATATTTCAGATAGACCACTACAAACATATGTGATATTTTAGATAGACCCCTACAAACATATGTGATATTTGAGATAGACCACTTCTAACATGTGATATTTTAGATAAACCACTACAAACATATGCAATACTTCAGATAGACCACTACAAACATATGTGATATTTCAGATAGACCACTACAAACATAGTAATATTTCAGAGAAACCCCTACAAACATATGTGATATTTCAGATAGACCACTACTAACATGTGATATTTCAGATAAACCACTAGAAACATATGTGATATTTCAGATAGACCACTACAAACATATGTGATATTTTAGATAGACCACTACAAACATATGTGATATTTTAGATAGACCACTACAAACATATGTGATATTTCAGATAGACCACTACAAACATATGTGATATTTCAGATAGACCACTACAAACATGTGTGATATTCCGATAGACTACTACAAACATACGTTATATTTCAGTTTAACCAAAAACATGTTTCTCGTATTTGTTTTTGTTTGTTGTTTTGTTTGGTTTGATCCTGTGTTGTTCCGTTGCACCACTATCCCACGTTAGGGAAGTGTTGGCGCCTTCAAACTAGTTTAACTGTGAATTCTGTACGTGCCTGTCCCAAGTCAGGAGCCTGTAGTTCAGTGGTTGTCGTTGGTTCATGTCTGTTCTATTTGTTTTTCGTAAATTGTTTCGTTATACATTAGGCCGTTAGTTTTCTCAATTGAATTGTTTTATATTTCTCATGTCAGGACCATTTATAGCCGACTATACGGTACGGGGTTTTCTCATTGTTGAAGGCCGTACGATTGTCTATAATTGCATCCACTTCATTTGAACTTTGGTGTATAGTTGTTTCATTGGCAATCATACCACATCTCCTTATTTTCAACATGTGATATTTCAGTTAAACAACTACAAACATATGATATTTTAGATAAACCACTACAAATATATGTGATATTTCAATTAGACCACTACAAACATACGTGATATTTAGATAAACCACTACAAATACTACAGATATTTCAGATAATAGTATCAACGTACAAATTTTTGTGTACCAGATGAATATTTCGACAATAAATGTCTCTTCAGTTGTGATCGTGTCCATTATATTTGAAATCCAAAACGTATTGAAAAAGGAAGAGTCTATAAACCAAAAAGGACAATACGTGTAGTCAAAGCCTGGCAAGGAATCATAGCTTTGCATGAGGGAAATGTATTCACTTCCACTCCAAACATATGTGACATTTTAGTTAAACCCCTACAAACTATGTGCTATTTCAGGTACACTACAAGCATATGTGCTATTTTAGTTAAATTACTTCAAACATATGTGCTTTTCAGATAAACCGGGCACTACAAACATATGCAATATTTCAGATAGACCACTACTAACATGTGATATTTTAGATAAACCACTTCAAACATATGCAATACTTCAGATAAACCACTACAAACTTATGTGATATTTCAGATAGACCACTACTAACATGTGATATTTTAGATAAACCACTACAAACATATGCAATACTTCAGATAAACCACTACAAACATATGTGATATTTCAGATAGACCACTACAAACATATGTGATATTTTAGATAGACCCCTACAAACATATGTGATATTTGAGATAGACCACTTCTAACATGTGATATTTTAGATAAACCACTACAAACATATGCAATACTTCAGATAGACCACTACAAACATATGTGATATTTCAGATAGACCACTACAAACATAGTAATATTTCAGAGAAACCCCTACAAACATATGTGATATTTCAGATAGACCACTACTAACATGTGATATTTCAGATAAACCACTAGAAACATATGTGATATTTCAGATAGACCACTACAAACATATGTGATATTTTAGATAGACCACTACAAACATATGTGATATTTTAGATAGACCACTACAAACATATGTGATATTTTAGATAGACCACTACTAACATGTGATATTTTAGATAAACCACTACAAACATATGCAATACTTCAGATAGACCACTACAAACATATTTGATATTTCAGATAGACCACTACTAACATGTGATATTTTAGATAAACCACTACAAACATATGTGATATTTCAGATAGACCACTACAAACATATGTGATATTTCAGATAGACCACTACAAACATATGTGATATTTTAGATAGACCACTACAAACATATGTGATAATTCAGATAGACCACTACAAACATATGTGATATTTCAGATAGACCACTACAAACATATGTGATATTCCGATAGACTACTACAAACATACGTTATATTTCAGTTTAACCAAAAACATGTTTCTCGTATTTGTTTTTGTTTGTTGTTTTGTATGGTTTGATCCTGTGTTGTTCCGTTGCACCAATATCCCAGGTTAGGGGAGTGTTTGCGCCTTCAAACTAGTTTAACTGTGAATTCTGTACGTGCCTGTCCCAAGTCAGGAGCCTGTAGTTCAGTGGTTGTCGTTGGTTCATGTCTGTTCTATTTGTTTTTCGTAAATTGTTTCGTTATACATTAGGCCGTTAGTTTTCTCAATTGAATTGTTTTATATTTCTCATGTCAGGACCTTTTATAGCCGACTATACGGTATGGGGTTTTCTCATTGTTGAAGGCCGTACGATTGTCTATAATTGCATCCACTTCATTTGAACTTTGGTTGATAGTTGTCTCATTGGCAATCATACCACATCTCCTTATTTTAAACATGTGATATTTCAGTTAAACAACTACAAACATATGATATTTTAGATAAACCACTACAAATATATGTGATATTTCAGTTAGACCACTACAAACATACGTGATATTTTAGATAAACCACTACAAATACTACAGATATTTCAGATAATAGTATCAACGTACAAATTTTTGTGTACCAGATGAATATTTCGACAATAAATGTCTCTTCAGTTGTGATCGTGTCCATTATATTTGAAATCCAAAACGTATTGAAAAAGGAAGAGTCTATAAACCAAAAAGGACAATACGTGTAGTCAAAGCCTGGCAAGGAATCATAGCTTTGCATGAGGGAAATGTATTCACTTCCACTCCAAACATATGTGACATTTTAGTTAAACCCCTACAAACTATGTGCTATTTCAGGTACACTACAAGCATATGTGCTATTTTAGTTAAATTACTTCAAACATATGTGCTTTTCAGATAAACCGGGCACTACAAACATATGCAATATTTCAGATAGACCACTACTTACATGTGATATTTTAGATAAACCACTTCAAACATATGCAATACTTCAGATAGACCTCTACAAACATATGTGATATTTCAGATAGACCACTACTAACATGTGATATTTTAGATAAACCACTACAAACATATGCAATACTTCAGATAAACCACTACAAACATATGTGATATTTCAGATAGACCACTACAAACATATGTGATATTTTAGATAGACCACTACAAACATATGTGATATTTCAGATCGACCACTACTAACATGTGATATTTTAGATAAACCACTACAAACATATGCAATACTTCAGATAGACCACTACAAACATATGTGATATTTCAGATAGACCACTACAAACATAGTAATATTTCAGAGAAACCCCTACAAACATATGTGATATTTCAGATAGACCACTTCTAACATGTGATATTTCAGATAAACCACTACAAACATATGTGATATTTCAGATAGACCACTACAAACATATGTGATATTTTAGATAGACCACTACAAACATATGTGATATTTTAGATAGACCACTACAAACATATGTGATATTTCAGATAGACCACTACTAACATGTGATATTTTAGATAAACCACTACAAACATATGCAATACTTCAGATAGACCACTACAAACATATTTGATATTTCAGATAGACCACTACTAACATGTGATATTTCAGATAGACCACTACAAACATATGTGATATTTCAGATAGACCACTACAAACATATGTGATATTTTAGATAGACCACTACAAACATATGTGATATTTCAGATAGACCACTACAAACATATGTGATATTCCGATAGACTACTACAAACATACGTTATATTTCAGTTTAACCAAAAACATGTTTCTCGTATTTGTTTTTGTTTGTTGTTTTGTATGGTTTGATCCTGTGTTGTTCCGTTGCACCACTATCCCAGGTTAGGGGAGTGTTTGCGCCTTCAAACTAGTTTAACTGTGAATTCTGTACGTGCCTGTCCCAAGTCAGGAGCCTGTAGTTCAGTGGTTGTCGTTGGTTCATGTCTGTTCTATTTGTTTTTCGTAAATTGTTTCGTTATACATTAGGCCGTTAGTTTTCTCAATTGAATTGTTTTATATTTCTCATGTCAGGACCTTTTATAGCCGACTATACGGTATGGGGTTTTCTCATTGTTGAAGGCCGTACGATTGTCTATAATTGCATCCACTTCATTTGAACTTTGGTTGATAGTTGTCTCATTGGCAATCATACCACATCTCCTTATTTTAAACATGTGATATTTCAGTTAAACAACTACAAACATATGATATTTTAGATAAACCACTACAAATATATGTGATATTTCAGTTAGACCACTACAAACATACGTGATATTTTAGATAAACCACTACAAATACTACAGATATTTCAGATAATAGTATCAACGTACAAATGTTTGTGTACCAGATGAATATTTCGACAATAAATGTCTCTTCAATTGTGATCGTGTCCATTATATTTGAAATCCAAAACGTATTGAAAAAGGAAGAGTCTATAAACCAAAAAGGACAATACGTGTAGTCAAAGCCTGGCAAGGAATCATAGCTTTGCATGAGGGAAATGTATTCACTTCCACTCCAAACATATGTGACATTTTAGTTAAACCCCTACAAACTATGTGCTATTTCAGGTACACTACAAGCATATGTGCTATTTTAGTTAAATTACTTCAAACATATGTGCTTTTCAGATAAACCGGGCACTACAAACATATGTGATATTTCAGATAAACCACTACTTGTCGGATATGCTTTGTATTATTACACGTACTCTACATGGGAGGGTAGGAGTATTTACATGGAAGATTTATATGTTAAACCGGGATATAGAGGACAAGGAATCGGAACACAACTTTGGAAATCGGTTACAAAGGTAATCCTATGATAACAAAGAATGTGTAAATACATTTTAGTTTTGTGTTTTTAAATGAGCGTTATAATATTCCAAATAAGAAAAGGATTTTAAAAACTATTTGAAATACAGTGTATGCAAGAATATTATATAATAATTCTTTGCCATATTGCCCAATTTATTGAAAGCAACAGAGCATTAAAACTTAAAAAATGAAAGGATTATTCAAACATTTATATAATAAAATATTTTTTTATTAATTATATCCTTGAGGTTCACAAGGAATGTAGCGTATGACTAAAAGGGAATTTGGGTATACGTCACTGCGAACAACATCTTAACAACACAAAGTCAAAAAAAAATCAAACGACACCAATAACAAAAATAGTGTGTACAATATGTTAAGCTCCGATTCGCCTCGACTCCAGTCAAGAAAAATAAAATTACACAGAGACTCAAATATCTAACCAGCCTTTGCCCATCTCATCTCAGACTCAAAGATCTAACCAGCCTTCGCCCATCTCATCTCAGACTCAAAGATCTAACCAGCCTTCGCCCATCTCATCTCAGACTCAAAGATCTAACCAGCCTTCGCCCATCTCATCTCAGACTCAATGATCTAACCAGCTTTGTCCATCTCATCTTAGACTCAATGATCTAACCAGCCTTCGCCCATCTCATCTCAGACTCAATGATCTAACCAGCCTTTGTCCATGTTATCTCAGAAACTCAATGATCTAACCAGAATTCGTCCATCTTATCTTTGAAACTCAATGATCTAACCAGCCTTAGTCCATTTATCTCAGCGACTCAATGATCTAAGGGAACGACCATTTAACTCCAAGAGAGGGTTGGGGGGTATGTTTTTTTTTCTAAAAAAATATTCTGATCCCCAATTTGATGAAAAAAATATTGTGGTCAAGCAGATGACAAAAAAAAATATTCTGAATCCAAATTTTCCCCATACCTTAAAGAGTTAAATTTTGAAAAAAATAATTAGATTGATAGCGTCGAAAAACTAAAAAAAAATGTTCAAAAATTTCTGACTCAGACAAAAAAAACATACCCCCTTGAAATTAAATGGTTTCTCCCTAACCAGCCTTCGTCCATCTTATCTCAGAAACACAAATGATCTAACCAACCTTGTTCATCTTATCTCAGAATCTCAGTGATATAATAAGATGTACATGGAATATCGTACAATAAAAATTAGAACAAAACAATTTCTTGATACCGGTATAAAATTGAGAATGGAAATGGGGAATGTGTCAAAGAAACAACAACCCGACCAAAGAGCAGATAACATAGATGCAACTAATTGTCATATAGAAAATGCTCACAGTGTCTGTAAACAAGTTCAAAAAGCTCACTTAACGTCTGATATCATGCATTCAACATTAATTCATAGCACATTTTGTTTTACGCATTTTATACAAAATAAGCGTTCTATCAACGCGTTTAGTGAACCTAGAAATTTTTATATTGTAATAAAATCGGAAAAAAAACATTCGTTTTATTTTTTAAATTTCAGATTGGAATCGAGAAGCAGTGTTCACGGCTTGATTTTGTTGTGTTAAATTGGAATGTTAATTCGATAGAGTACTACAAACAGAAAGGTGCTTTTGATTTGACTGGGACAGAAAAATGGCATCTATTTCGTATGAAACAGAATGAGATGAAAGCGTTTATAGCTGCATAACTTTAAGTAACAGTTGTAAATAAATATATACTGATATCACAGTAGACATTATTTAAAGGACATGCCCAGCCCACTGTTTTACAAGAGATGTGCCGTAAAGACATCACTTATTTATACGTCAACCCATTCCTTTATCACCTCAATTAAATTTATAAAACAGAGCATCATTTTGATTCTATTCTCGGATTTAGACGACTTAAACCTGATTAGGTTTTTTATGAATTTATGAAGGTTTGGATGGTACAGAATAGAGAATAATTTGGAGAAGTTAGGGAAAATGGGCTAAAAATATAAACCTAGGCCTTCATAAATATTGTGTAATTAAGATTAAGACGAACCTCCTTGATGAAGTGTCATTACTTAGCTGCATTTGCAGGTATTTTAACCAAACTATTTTTTGCGTGCAGGGGGATCACGCTTATATATTGGCGAGTTTTGGAAGTGTCTATGGGCCACTCGATATCCTCGGAATCACAATTCTCGGAACGTCTCGAAAATTTTCCATCATTTATATAAGTAGTTATTTATGTCTTTGATACGGTCCCTCTATGGATAGGCTACAACGTGACATTGTATATTTCAATAATCCGACAAACGGTTCATTTGTAGATTTGAAAGTAAAACAATAAAGACTAGGTTGCATTCTAAAAATCATTTAAATGTTAGAACCTATTTGCCTTTTGACAAAACATATATATTTTTAATAATGTGAATGTTTATTAAATATCAAGTATAATGATAACGCAATTATATAATTCATGCTTTGAGACGGTCCCTCTACGCGTTGTGTGTGTTGTATTTAATAAACCTGGGAATAGTTTATTGATATACAATGACCCAGAATAAACTGATTATTTCTGAACGTTTATCATTTGATATTTAGTATTTCAATCATAGCATGAGAAAATGTTGGAAAGAATGAAGAAAATTAAGAAAACGATATTTCTGTTAAAAATATTTATCTAAGGTCGGAAACACAGTGGTCGGAAAGCAGAAAGATAATCAAACAAAAGGATTTTTCTGTAAAAAAAATATCTTATTTCATTAATAGATTCTACCAGACTAAGAGAATACTCATTGTTAAGGGAAAACTGAGACTGAATTTATTCCTAATAATTATAGAATATAATTAAAATTGTAAATTATACGTGCATTATGTCTCACAGGTTTGATCAGTCATTACATTTATGAAAATTATATGTAACGTATGAGCACCAATGAGCAGGGATGCGTACCCAAAGTTAGCTAAATATCTAAATTTTAAACGGTCGTGAATGAAAAAATACTTGCGTGGTTTCAATTCACAAGGATTTTCAATCCTTGCATGTCACAAAAAACGTAATTTATATTTTACAATAATCATAACAAAATGTACTTACTATCATAATGTTAATTATTTTTTCCCCTTTTTTTTTCTTTTATTAGTTAAACCTTATAGCATCTAAATATTTGTACTATGGTACGGTTTTGAAAATTGTATTCATTGTGTTGGTCAGCTATCCTACACGTCTTGATTCATTCACATTATACATCACCCTGTTCACACGCACACTATCGGTTTGCGTTCACAAAAATTCCGGATAAAATGTCAATGAATCCGGAGTCAAAACACTTGAGGTAGGTAGTTTGACATCCGAATTCAACTATTAGATTAATATATGTGATGACGCAAATGCGTATTCTTATCAAGAGTATCAGTGCGTATGCTTTCTATTTACTATTTCTTGCGCAAAAATACCACGTTCATGCATAAATATTAATTTCACTCGCGAATGCGAATTTTCGCTTTTCTTATCTTAATTCAGGACATGGCAATAAGAGCTTCCCATGTGACTTTCAAGCACGGTCATCATTGCTTACGGTATTCTGACCTCTTGCTGTTTCTCTTTCATTTTCTTTTTTGAACCACTGTCCTTTTATAAACTTTGACATTTTCGAAATACCAAGGATTTTCTACCCAAGGAATAAATTATTTAACTTCGTACTTTATTTGGCCTTTTTAACTATTTTTATTCGAGCGTCACTGATGAGTCTTTGTAGACTTAACTCGCGTCTGGCGTACAACATGTTAATCCTGGTAATTTTTTTTTTATATCTACATGTCTTTTTATATAACTTGAATCTTTTGAGAGTTTGTTCAGGTGTTCATAAACCTTCTTAAAATAAGATATTCTTCAAAACCAAGTTTCCCTGTAAAATATTTGGATTGATTTAAGTAAAATCAGGAAATCCTTAAAATTCGAGATATTTTATGAGACCAAAATAAGTCTCTATATAAGAAGTCCAAATGAAGCTGGTGTGTTACTCTCAAGAAAAAAATACGAAACCTTCTTATAAGTTGCATGCCACAGGGTTTCACTTCACATGGAAAATGGACTTTAAATTTATCTGTACAACATCTACCATGAGTACAGACAACTTCAATAACGAGTTGAGAATATGAAAGCATCCATGCAGGAAACAAAATATAAAGATGTGATAGATAAAATAAATGCATCCAGATTATAAAGCAAACTGAGTGTTTAAATTTATATTGCGATTGGTTTGTGCAATTTGCATTATACATCAGGTTTATAGAAACTGGGATTTGCAATAGGATTATAAAAAATGATGTACAATCCCAAGTAATAAATGAAATAGTCAAGCTTTAAAATGTATATTCAAATAGTAGCTGTATATACACTTTTCTATTCACACCTATCCAACACTGCTTTCAACCGACTTGTGCAAGAATGTACACACTATTACATATTTTTAATAAAGGTAGTTTAACTTCATCATTATCTCCTTCTATCCACAGTCAATTATTTCAATTCAAAAGCAAACAAAAAAATTCAGCAACAATCTTTTGGTGACCAGTCAGCGGTCTTAGGTTCACGTATTGCTTTTCTTTTTTTGAGGAAAGCAACTCGTTTTCTTAAATAATGCTATAATGCATTTGATTGTTTTGTTTGTTATAAGAATTAATATACATTTAAAATCAAACTGGAGCAATTTCTACTAATCTTTAATTTCACGGGATCGCTGTTTTTATGGCGGTGTTTTTGATAGGTACACGGAAGTTAAATACCTAATTTAAAAATAAACTGGAGAATGTATTCTTCATTGTATGTCCGATTGCACAATTGAATGAAAGAAAGAATACTGTTACACTATATAAATCAACAGCCTAGGCAAAGAAGATGGAAGCCAACGTGTATTCCGTTCGTTCGGCAAACTATGAGGACTGTGAAGCTATTATGTCTCTTGTTATGGTAAGGTATAACATTAAATTAACTGAGGAGGTGAACAGTATCGCCAGCAATTTTATAAGAATTGTTAT